GGTTGCCCTCTCTCTCAAAATGCTCAAAAGCAGTGGAGGCAATGTGCTCCCACGTGTCAAGTGCCTCTAATTGGTATGTGCTGATTGCGGCTGCACAGAATTCTCGAAGTCCATCTTCCGATAGGCAAGCGGCTCCATCTACCAAATTGTTCAGGCAAACAAACAAAAGATAATATATCAGTTACTGTCAAGTATGGATACAGAGCGAGCACTTTCTTGTCTCGTTCATAAATAAAGCCACAAAGCAGAGCTCCAGGGGTAATAGGCTTCACGTTATAGCAAGGGGTTCCATTCCAGAAATCATTCTCAGACTTGGATGCTCTGGTACCAAAAAATTCCAAGACATCTTCAAGTCTGCACTTGACAGGGAAGTTCCTAAAGCTTGACTCAAATGTTCCAAAGCAGGAACTTATCAAGGCAAAGCAGTTGCACGTTATGTCATCAATACAATATGGCCGTGTACATGTTCTCCAGAACCTTTTATATTCACAACTTATAGCAGGAAAATTCCTATCAGCACAACTTTCGAAAAAATCCAGGAACTCAAGCACAATAAAGCAAATTGCAGCAACCCAATTTGTTAAAGATATTTGCACAGGATAATTCCTCACCGTATGTATAAATATCTAGAAACCTTGACTCCCTCATGGCATTGGTTGAATTACGTACAAGAGCCTGCAAATCACTTAGAAAGTGAATCATGACGAGATTAAAACACGCTAAAGGAAATCCAGGGAACACAAGCACTCATGCAAACATGACGAGAGCAAACTATATGGCAGAGAAAGTTGGGCTAGTTATAACCATTTTAAGTTGTCAAGGGAGACATAGCCGTCTTTATTTGGTTCTAACAATCTGAATTGTGCTCTCAGATATACCAATTGATCTTCTGACAAGGCTTTTGAAAGGGCCTGCATTGGAGAAAATAAGGAAGATGAGTTACCATACAGGGAAAAAGGAAATTAATAATAGAACATCTTCAAATTTGAGTTGACAGAAACAATATGTTCAAGAAAATCAAATTGAAAGAGATTTTCTTTAAAATAAATAAGCATCCCTGGTGAATGTCAAGCAACTACCTCCAGGTATACAAGAGCATGTTCTCGGAATAAAGATTTATGAAAAGGGGCCAAAACCCGAGGGGGGGGCGTTATAATGTCAAGGATTTCACAAACCAAAATCAATTGAATCTATTTTAGTCAAGAATACTAAATTATAAATTTATATATAAGATAATTCTCACCAGATGGAAAAAAAATGTGCATATACATGAAGGAAGTAATAAATAGAAAATATCAGTAAAATATTTAAAACATCTCATATATGTATCAATGTAAACACGTGTGTGTGTGTAAGAGAGAGAGAATGTAATAACAAGAAACAAAAGATTCAGCATGAGCATATCTAAGGAAATGAAATAAATAGTACCTTTAGTGCTGCTCGTTTGAATGGGTGTTGCAAGAAGATAACACTTCACCAATTGTAAACTAATATATCTAAAGGTATAGGACGGTTGTCCCCCTCAGCCAAGGGTGAGCTGCATTTACACAGGCGTTGCATTGATAATTTTAAAATTTTTATTGAAAAACGCTTTTAAGGTCAGACCCATAATCTACATCTATAATTAATGCATCCAAAAGACATGTCAGAAGAGGTACAAAGTATAATAATACTCCAGATAGGCATGGGTCATGGAACATACGATAAAATGGCTCGATAGTAACAACATCGACTTATATATATATATATTATATATATTAACTATGGATACAAAGACAAGAGACAAGGGATTTATATAGTACTGGTTTCTGAGTTTGGATCCCCTCAAGTGTAAAACAATTAAAAGTGCTCTAAAGTAAAAAGGAGTAACACACAGTGAGTATATGGGGCTACTTCCCATCTTTCCATCCACTTTGTTCTCTTTATTTCTCTCTTGCTATGGAAACACTTATAGGCTTCACACTCTAAGTATCCAAATTAGTACGAAATCAGAAGGTGGACCCATAATCAACAAAGTTGCCTTATTTTATTTAATTTTTAAAAAAAATCCTGTCAACATGCTTATCATTATGCGTCATTAAGAATATTACCATCTAAAAGGCCAGTGTTGTCATGTTTAAAACCCTCCAGCTTATGGGCAAACAGATGTGAAAACTTACTTAGAGCTTGGACAGCAGTCATTCTTTTCCTGTAATCCTTGTTCAGAAGCCTTTTTACAAAGTCCTTGGCCTCTGCAGATACAGTAGGCCAAGGCAAGTCATCAAAATTAGGATCAGCTCTGAGCACTGCACGAAAAATTCCAGATTCTGTTCGAGCCCAGAAAGGTCGACTTCCACATAACAAGATATAGGTGATAACACCTATACTCCATATATCTGCTTCCAGACTATATGATCTGTGAAGGACCTCAGGTGCAACATAGTAGGCACTTCCAACGATGTCATTCAATCTTTCATCTGCACATAAACATCCAGGAAGGAGTTGAGAGATGTAAGTATAGATGAGGAAAATAACTTCTTAAGGATCCTAATTGTATTGATTTCATACATGTTCTTCAATGGTTCAAAGACAGAATAGATGAGCAATTGAATCAAGGGACCCATGAAACACACAGCAAAGTAAAGAAATTGAGGGGAAGCTGTATGTTTTGAATGCATACCCATTTGAAAAGAAAATAGTTTCACTAGTCAAAACACAGGTTTAAGAAAGATCCTTATGCTAAGAGTAGCCGCAATATTGAGGTGAGGTTTATGTTTACTAGAAATTGCCCATGTTCTATTAAAAAAAGATTGGCATGCCTGGAAGATGAAATCAAGGATGACTTTGATTATTAACCTGGTCTAATGAAGTCAGAGAGACCAAAATCAATAAGCTTCATATCAGCATCTTCACTTCGTGAAGTGAACAGAAAATTCTGTAAAAGAAGAGCAAAACCAGCAAGGCTCCATAAATTCTTCCATGTGGGTGCACAAGTTGGATTAAGAAAATAATTAGATGTCAATATTGCAAATCATTACAGGGACAAGATTTAAAGCACAACCTCAGGCTTTAGATCACGGTGCACCACACCTTGGAGATGACAAAAAGCAACAACACTTAAAATCTGCAAAACTATAACTTTTGCATCTTCCTCAGTATACTTGCCTCCCCTATAATAGAGGAAAAAATTTTAAATCAAAATACTAAGAGAGCATATCAACTAGAAAGATCACAACAATAACAAAGGAAAAACTAACCTTGACAAAATTCTGTCAAGAAGCTCCCCCCCTTCACACAATCTGACAAGATAAAAAAAGCTCAGAAAGATCACTATATTATGAAGCTACAATTAGAAGATGCATGCTCCCCACAATTCAACCATAAAATAAGAAAAACCATAATCAAAATCCATGTTGAACAAAGGATTTAATATTTCTAATCAAGTATTTAAAGAGTGTGGCTGACCTCATTTAAACCATCTATTAATTAGGGAAATCATACAAAAAAAGGAATCAACACTGGGAAACAGGAAATTGATTGTAGAAAGTAACAAGGCAGCAACAAATCATGACGATGACGACAACAATAAAAGGACACAACATGTTATTGTAACACTACCACTAAAGGTCTTGCTACTTAAATCAGTCAAGCTTTGCCTAAAAGCAAGGGTTAAGTTCTAAATTTGAGGAATGGGGTATCAGAGTAAAAGATTACTTCTGTACCTCAATTTGATTGCTTGAAAATAGCACCCAGAAAAAACATGATAAAATTCAGTGCTTCACTTCAAAGATGCTACCAAATTCTTCATCTAAATAATAATGAATACAGGATAAAAGGCGTACTCCATAACTATGTACACATTGTTGGCATCCTCACAAGCATCATGATATTTGACAAGATGCTTATGGCCGGATAGAGCTTTCAACATCTTCACCTCTCTTCGAACATCTTCAATTGCTATTGCTGTTGTCATCTGCCAAATAAATCTTATTAAGATGCAGCAGTTGGTTTAACAAGAATTACTAAATAAAGCTGCAAAATTATGGCTTCACAAAATAGTATGCAGTAATACTAACTAAAGGCACATATATTGTATGACCTATCCAACAAATGAGCTTACATTGCATGTTGGAATAACCATGAAATCAACAGTATACTAACATGCACTTCCTTAGAAAAGATCTTAACACCGGGTATTTATAAATCAAATGCCTTTACAAATAAACAAAGCACTTGATTATAATAGAATGAATGGACTTTCGCTAAAGAGAAAAATAAGTACTGAAATATGACACATTTGTAAGATGTTTTTGGTCACAAAGGAATCCAGGTTGGAAAACTCATAATCTTGTCATCAACACCAATCAATCGTTGATCAAGCCTCCATTTTAACAGCTTTATGTTCCTAATTAATCCTAATCAAATTTTATATTCAACTACCACCAGAGCAACAAATGCAATACAACACCTACACGTATTCACATGATAAAGGGTCTGCTATTTTATAATCCTTCGTGGTTACAACTGTCAGTCAAGAACAAGAACTTCTCCTATATCATTTATTCCACGGACACGCGCGCGGGCGAGCATTGTATATACGAATACTTGTATGTAAATATTTTAATTATTGTTCTATACAGTTCACAAAAAACCTTTCTTTATCAACACCACCACAAACAAACTAAAGAGATGCAATGCCATCAAATCTGTCCAAATGTAACAGACAAGGTAGGACCTAGGGAGATCTCATGCCATTGCTAGCTTGACTCAGTAATTACTAAAATGACTTCTGATTTTTTTGCGCTATTTACAACTTTTATAGGGACACACTGACACTCCTTAGAAACTCTCATATCACATGTTCCACTCCACTGCCTCAGTGAAGCATCATGATTAGTCTAAGAAAATTCCAAAGAAAAAAAGACAAATAACTCTAATGTCAGGCTACCCACGTCAAATTCCTGAAGTGCTATATATATATATATATGAAAATCTCACAGAAAAGTGTCTAGTTGAGAGTGATGCTAATCATGTCTATTGAATTCCAGAATAATCATTTTTCTACCGTTAGATTTTAGTGTCCAGGGCATCAAGTACAAATTTCAGAACTTCAATCTGGTGGAACGTCTGTACTTTTGTCGGATATCCTACCATCCATTTCAGTTCGATAGGCACCAAGGGGTTAAAAGAAACAATGCTAAACTACAGCACAAGCATCATTCTCAAATAACCAAGATTCTCTCAGGTTCTAGGCAACAGATCAATCAAACACAAGAAATTCAAATGTAACTAACGCCAACCAAAAGGGTTCAAACGCCATAAGAGTCCAATATTTATCAGAATCAACTAGCCAGACATGCTCCCCGAGAGAGAGAAAAAATCCAGAAAATATAAATACAAAAAAATTTAAACGAAAGATCGTGTCAGAGAAGATTGACCATTTCAAGATCATGAAACTTACCATCAATACTCCGAATATCACACCAAAAACATGAAAAAGATGAACTAAGATTGATTATAAAACTAGCCAACTTCAATTTGCAGGAAATAAAAAATTTACGACATTATACCTTCGCCTTCGAGATGATTTTCACTGCTACAGGATGGTCTTTGAGCTCTCCCTTCTTGCCCCTTGCAGAGCACGTGTGACCAAAATGGCCCCTTCCCACTTCCTTTCCTAACTCATACTTAGCTCCAAAATTCTTACTATACCCAAAGCTCTTGTCCAGCGCCTGCTCCGGTTCTGTCCCACGGTCCTCGGGGATCGGGCCCTCCTTGGGTTTCCCGTGCCCAAGCCGCTTCGCCAGCGACGCTCTGATATGCTTCGCCGGCGACGGAGGAGGGAACGGTCGTCGAAAAAACCTCCTGGGCGTCGATGTCCTCGCCGGCGACGGCGACACCCCACCCGGAAACGGACTTGCGTTGACGCCTTGCGGGTACGGGCTCGGCCACGGGCTCGCGTTGGACGATCGGGCAGGCGTGTTCTTCACCGATGGAAGCCCGTTGCCACCGCTTCCTGACGGCAGAGGCGACTGCGGAGGGCCACCGAAATCGCCAATAATGGTGGTTGTGTTTGCGGCACCGTCATTTTCAGCGGTGGGATTGGTCTTGCCGTAGCACTGCCCCATAGGAAGAGCTAGCTCCGGCTCTGTATCTGATCAGCGCTCAGTCAAAGTCCACACATCGGACGGCCAATGACCCTGGACCCTCTGGATTCAATTCTCGCCGGAAATTTACGCGAAATAGAGAGAGATCTACAACGAGAAAACGTTAAAGAAGGAGAATTTCAGTCAGGTAGAGAGATAAAGAAGAACGAAAGAGGGAGAGAGACTGAGAATGAGACAGAGAAAGCAAGACAAGGTCTGTTAACAAACAAAGGCGAGTGTGACGCTAAAGGATTAGGCGGGAATTGCAAGCAACTTCGCGGTACGGAATGGAAAATCCTGAGGACCCCAGTAGACCTACGATCTGTGTCCAACATGTGAATATCGAGAATAAGGCGATAATCACAGCCGTTGATTCTCCAAATCGATGTGTTTCCTGTTATATGGGATAGTTTTCCGGTGTAAGCTGCCTAGTACCTTTCGTTTTGTCTTTTGCTACTTTCGTTGCAGTTATTGTGATTTTAAAACAAAAAACAAAAACAAAATGGGGCAAGAAAGAAGGGAAAAAAAGGAAGGAAAGTTTAAAAATGGGAAGGGTGGGTTTCTCTTCACTGGAGGCTGGTGTAAGAGTGGGCCCATGGACTCAGGAACATTAGTTGTAGCTGACGTTGAAAGACGTAAATACCCTAAGAAGACACGTGGCCAGAGATGGGAGAGTAGAGTAGAATAGGGGATCTACTGGATGATGCAGGCGATGATGAAAGTAGATTTCCTTGGAGGGAATAAAGAGCTGGGGAAGGTTGAAGAGGAAGAACATAGGCTGGTCAGAAGGTTCGAAACGAGGTGTGGTTCGACGCGGGACGTGGTTTGGTACGGATCTGATCGTATTCTGTTGCCTTCCCAGTCAATAAATTGAATTCATTTTACGGGATAATGCATATTTTAAGAAGTAAAATGCTAATATTGATTAAAGAAATAAATCTTCCCCGGATCTTCATTTTTATAGATGGAAGATTTTTATATTATTAAGAAATAACGGTGCAGAATAAAAGGCACAAAATAGAAAATGTTTTTAATATTAAAACTTTTAACAATGATGATTGAATATAAAACAATTAAAGTGTCAGAATGAAATTTACATTGTTTAACTACTGTTTCCTACATCCTAAATTGCAAAGCACTTTTAAAATAATATTATGCTATTCATTTCCAGCAACAAGAAGGAACGAAGGATAATATCTTCTTTTGATTGTGCTCAGTTAGTTTTTTAATTTGGTTCTTTTGTAATCTTGTTTGCAAATAAAAAGAAAAAAAAAGGAAGGAGACTATCTTCTTTCTTTTGTTTTATTATTCTTTTCTTAGATATAAAGACATTACTGCAAAGGAAAATATCCCATGGCAGAGAGGCTATACTAGCCATTGAATTTGGTAAGCTAGGTGGACTAAATTAATTATAAAGATACTTTTTAATATGTCAATTATTCAATTTTGTATAAATAGTTGTAACATACTCTCTTTATTTAAAAATATAATATATTTTTAATTAATTTTATTTCTCAATAAAATAGTTACTTATTTTCAAATCAATCATATCTTTTATATTTATTCCTATTAAATACTTACAATAAATATAAAGTTATTATCAATAGGAGTACTATTGAAAAAAAGCAATGATTACACCTTAAAAAATTAAAAATGCTTTATATTTTTTAACATCCAATTTTTCAAAAAATACTTTATATTTTTAAAGAGGAGAAATAATTTTTTTGGTTATATGGAATCAGTTTATTACATTTTATTATAAAAAAATAATACGCTTAGTCTATAACAAAATTAATGTGTATAAATACAATATGCAGTTTATATTGTTGTTGTTATACATAGACTAACTTATTAAATAGTTTTCCAATAATTTAAGCCTATAAATATAATTAAGAAAAACTGAATAGGTTTTCCGAAGAGCTGTTATACTTTCACCCTTTTAACTGCATATCTTTTGGGGAAAGAATCTCGTCACATAAATATCGCCATCAGTATTCGAAAGCTCTCCTTTTTTCCCTTAAGAGATGATTTGGTAACCAATTAATAATGATCACCTATGTCCAAATAAAATAAATAATTATGGCATTTTATTCGTCTGGTGACCTGAATCACAAGCCTTTCACGTAAGATATGCTTATTCAAGTGGATATAGTATATAATTCGGTGAGTAATTTTCTTCAAACTTAGCATTCGTTTTTCCTTTAAATTTTATGAAAAAAACACCTTTGATGCTATAGTTTTAGAATCTTCAGTGCTAATTTTCAAAGTCACAAATGCAGAATAGAATGCCTATCTGGAAAGAATATTAAAAATAATCATCTATTCATCAACACTTATGCATGCAAATTGGCTCGTCCTTTTCCTTATCATATTCACATATATGCTTCCAGAAATTATTATTGTAACAATGCAGTTAAAATAAAATAAAAAAACCTTTTATTTTTCCAACTAATTTTTACGTGAGTCAAGTCTTGAAAGTTAACTAAAACAAGGACATGCCTTTAAGTTTAAATAGCACAAACAGATTATCTACTAATAAGATGTATTTATGCTGACAGCAAAATTTAACAATGCATTGTCTTGTAAATTACATATCAAATATTTACCAATTGAACTAATCTTTTTTTTTTTTTTGCAATAGAAAGAGTTTCGCATCACTATTCTTGGCCATTTAAGCACTGGGTTTGGATACATGCATAAGAGGATTAATTCTCCCTTTGAAGATAATAAATTCTCTTACGCGCACGTTTGTGTTTTTGATATCGAATGGAATTAGATTTCAATATAGACATGTAGATGTTTTTTCAAAAGCTTATGAACAGGTTCTATTTAAGAAAATCAATTATTTTCTCAGTTTCATTTATAAGTCAGATATTTCCATGCAGTTAATCGAGACATGGATGTAACTCTTGAATATATATATATATATATATATATAACATGTTTAGCTATGCAGATTCCTTCCTTGTCAAGTCATGTTAGGTCCAAGAAGAAGGTTACATATAACATGTGAATAGTGTAGTTCTATAAAATTTGCACGATTTTATGTTAATATCGATTGATGAATAAAACTTAGTCTAATACAGAGTGAAAATGACCCTGCCATGGTGATGATATGACGAAAGAAGAGAACTTGTTTGATTAATTATCTAATAGATGATGTATATTATATTGCTATTAATTAATTGTTTGAAAAGCAAATAGCTTCTCGACGCATTAATCATGCCTAAACTCTAATTAGGCGTGCGGAACAAAGTTGGAGTTGGCTTCACATTTAATTTGGTTGTCTTGTTTCTTTAAAATCATCGTGATGGTTATAACTAAAACTTTCATTATGGACCCCAGAGAAAAACTTCGTGTCAGATTAATTCCATTTATGAAAATTGAATGAAACATTAATTTGAAACGTGAAAGCCAAATTGCCTATGAAGATTTTGGGAACAATAGAGCAGGTCTTTCTGTTTTGAGCTTCTAGAGAACTTCACGATAATAATTTGATTTTCTTAAAAAAAATTGTCAGTTTGAGAAGACTTTACTTATTGATGCTCATAAGAAATTAATCTTTTATTTAATTCGGTCATAATTAAAGATAGCAAAGAAAAAGAAGATATAATTATTTTATATTTAAGTCTGTTATCTTAAAAGAAAATTATTAAATTACTGTTAAAAAGTTTAAATTTCATTATGAATTATTTACCCTGAGCCAGCTTGATCGTACATAAATTAATTGAAATTATTGTTTTTTCCCTAAGGTATCCCCATGACAAACAACTATAAGACTAATTTTTTGAAAAATTTAAATACTATTTAAAGAGTTATCATTTCCTAAAAGATGAATTGAAATTATTGTCAATACGTACATAACACACAGCAAAGGAATTGAAACGGGGCCAGGGTTGCTTGCAATAGCACTCAAGGGATCATTACTGCCCATTACTTCATCCGTCTCAGAATATTGTCCTTTAAAGACTATATACGCATATTAAAAAGTGTAATTAATATGTAAAAATATGATGTATTTTATTTCTTTTATTAAAAATATAAGGTATTTTTAATTGAATCTCACACTCTAATAAAATAATTAATTATTTTTAAACTAACCCTATCTTTTCATATTTACCTCTATAAACATCATAAAATCAATGTAAAATAATTTATTTAATAGGGCACTTTTGAAAGAAAAAAAATAATGATTACACCTCAAGAAATTAAAAATATTTTACATTTTTTAACGTTTAATTTTTTAAAAAATGCTTTATATTTTTAAATAGAGGGAGCATCAAATTTGTTTTTCCATTATTTTTATACATCTAATTGTTGTGCTAACAGTGCTTTAATACCTTTAAAGGAGAAAATAGGAAAAATATTATTAAATAATGTTTTAAGAGCCTTGAAAATATGAATAATATAAGATATATTTTAATGACCTGGCTTTAAATAAATTGCCTTGCTATTTAAAAAAATTGAAGTCCAGCTCAAATAAAAAATTCACGGTGAACCTTCAAATATGGTGCACAACATTTTGTTATAATAATTTTTAGTCTCTTGAATCTGTTTCAGCTATAAAATTTGATTTTTAAAATTTAATTTTTATCAATTTAATCCTTTAAATTTATAGTATCAATTATCAATTTAGTCATTATTATTTAAAAAATTAGTAACACTATTAAATTCTATTGATATGGATAACATAATATTGATAACAATTATGTGGATAAATACAAAAATGTAATTATTTGTAAGAAAAATAGACTTAGAAAGTTTTTTTAAAAAAATAATAGAACGAAGCATGAAGGATTACATTAATAAAAATTAAATTAGTTTGACTGTTAATTTGTTTTTATTTAACTCTGTGTGTGTGAAGTTATTAATATATTCACACATTAGATTAATTCAAGTGTCAATTTATATTTTAAATTTTAAAGGACTCATGCAATGATTTAAGAAAATATAAGGGATTAAATTGATAAAAAATTAAATTCTAGATATCAAATTAATAGTTGAGACAAATTTAAAAAATTATTAATTTTGTTATCATTTAAAAAAAACTCTTTTATAATTTTCTCTTATTTCTTTCATAGGTCATGCTCCAAAAAGGAGGATTAAAACAAAGGAGACTATGATTTACCATAGTTAGTGGATTTTTATTCCAATAATCGAGTTGAAAATTTTTTTTGCCGTTCCTTTAAACTTGTGTCGTCTGTCGTCGCATCATAATGTTTGAAAACGGCAT